TCGCGAAGGATCAATAGATTTTTGCCGCAATCAGATATTTATACATTGTAACGATTGCATCTCGCTATCGCGCAACGATCGAAATAAGGACGCGCATTTTTTACGCAAATATTTTCTTAATGGTCAATACACGGCCGAGAGCTAATCGTTATTGACGGAAAAATCGATTACGATCTTTGAAGCGTGTAAGCTCACGTGTAGAATTGCCCGGATGATTTGCATAATGGGTGAATCTCTCGGGAGTTACTTGGTAATCAGCAATACAATATAGCCTTTCTCTCCGCCGTGTAACATATAACTCTTAAGACGCGCTCGTGTACGCTTGCGCTCGGATCTCAGAAATAATCTGCTCCACGGTAATTTACTAGTTATGGCAACTAGAATCATATTAAAGATGAAATTATATCCCCGTAGCCACGTAAGCGCAAAACAAAATTACAACTACGGTCCTTGTAGCAACGGCCAATCCCTTCATTTAGCAATCTCCAACAATATAGTTTCTCTATCTTCCTCATCCCCTATATTTTCCGCCTATTCCTATTCTCTTTCTCGCTCTTCTCCTCCCTGCGATATTACAAAACACGGATATATAATTTCGTGCTATAACTAAGATTCATCTAAATCTAAACACACGTGTAGAATATGTGTTTATATGCGGTCCTCTTCCATCCGCGACCAATTGGAGAAAGTTTAATGCTTAACTCAACAACTTGTGACTTAAATGGCATTATAAATTAATTTTTTGATTGTATTTGTTTTTTATCGAACGTGTGTTATAGGTATCTATAGAAAAAAGAGGAAAAAAAGCGAGACGCGCGAGAAATGCACATACGTCATTTCTTATGTGCGCATTAAAGTCACCAGGGCGTCTTGTAGCATCGCGTGACTACATCTTATTCCAGGAATGCGGTTGCAATATATTGCAACGGTTTTTGTTCTGCTTGCAATTAGCATACATTCAAAAGTTGATTTATAGATTACACGATATAGTATATCGAATCTGTTACACTTAAACGCGAAAGATCGTGAAAAAAAAATCCAATTATTATTTCATTAATTATAAAAAAATATTGTTTTATTCCTGATTATTATCAGAAAATAAATCTTATTTTTTGTATTAGACCTTTGTACCTTATATAAGTACTTTTCTACTTTCACAAGAGTTATATTGAATTTCTTTATTCTATTCGCAGTTAGAGAAGAGCCCATGTGTCAAATTTAATTTATTATTATTATGATAATATATTCATTTTATTTCGATCATATATCATACGCGAGACAACGCGACAGCCGCTTTTCTCCGCGTCTTCGTTTTTTCATTGTATGACGTAAGAAAGATAGAGATATAGGAAGGAGAAACCGGCAAGTAGATAAGAAAGCGGAAGGAAGAAAAAAAGAAAGATAGAGACAGCGAGAGATGAGCAAATATGCGCGATCTATGAAGGATGCTGCCAAGCAAAGAGAGCAAACGGACGTGGACCAGCTTGCACGTGGTGGCACGTGCAGGGGCGTGGTTCGTGGGAGGGCATCCCGTGCACACGAGACCGCTGCAATTCACCTGGCACACGGCTGTTTGGCTAACATAAGCCCTACTCTTTTCTCTCGACCGTTCGCCATCCTACCCTGCCACTGCGCGTTTACCTTTACCTTGCCTATAGCGCTGCCGCCGCACCGTCCCCGTGTTCTTCCGTATTCTTTACGCGCGCTGTGCATCTCAGATGCAGAGTCTACTCCGATTTGTGAACGGGACTGCACTCTCTCTCTCTCTCTCTCTCTCAAAAGAGAAAGAGAGAGAGAGAGAGAAAGAAAGAGACAGAGAAGCCGAGAGAGGTTGGACGGGAAAAGTGTCTTTTAACAATACGAAAAGTTTAGCGGATCTTTATACAGAATCTTTAAAAAGAATTTTTAGTCTATTTTTTATGTGTTACATTCTTTATATAATTTTTTGGATAAATTTATATAGGTATAGCATATTTAATTTCATAGAGTTGAGAGAGACAACTGTTAAAAAATTAATGTAATTAATAATTGATTTTATATTTTTTATGGGGAACTACGCGCACACGTTAATATAATATTATAATTCTATAATTAATTATTATTATTATACTATTTTTTTAATTTTTTAGCAATTACTGTTATTTATATTGCAATTATATTCGACGCATCTTTTACGATGCACTTACCTACTTCCATCATATTTTTCGTAGACTTGAGATTGCACGTAATTGCAATTTTGCTTATGTAAATTACGGATTTTATGGTATCTCCTCCAGCGGGGTATTAAGTACCATTCTCGCACATAAAAGTAATCGAGAACGAAGTTCACAACGGTATTCACCTGTAATTAACTGTAATTGTAACAGTAACTGCTACCAGTTGACGTTCTCTTCGTATTGACTAATTTATTACGTGGCAATAACGACATTGTATTTTATAACGGCAAGAGCGTACAAGCATGTTTTACCTCTGAAACACTATCAAGAGCCAGCAGGTAGTTCCGTTAATTGCATCAGGTAGTTGCTTACGATGCAATTAGTGATTGAGCATACCTGACATCTCTTTGAATCGATTTATTTGCTTTATTTTCCACTGACAAATTTTATTGGACATAATTAGAATTTATGGCAAGGTATCCTTAACGCATTCTTTTTACATATCTATTTGCTGGTTAATAGTATTCGTGTTAAATATGAATATATCTTCATCTTTATATCCTTAAGTATTTACAAATTATGTTATTTAATTATTATCTTTATATTCTTAAGTGTTTACAAATTATGCTTTTACAAATTATGCTATTTGCATTTTATAAATATGATTTTATAATTGTGGAAAGTTAAGTTAAAAGAGAAATCTACATTTTTTACATACTTGTATTCCCATAATGTCATACGATTAAATATTTTTAAAACGAGTAACTCTTCGTAAGATGCACAAAATTCCGAAAATTTATATTTTTAATAATACGCACTTCTCTCGCGATAATCATACATTTTCATCTTGCGCAAGTTTCAGGATAATTAACGGGAATTCCCGAATCAAACGATGTGTTTTATCGGTCGCGGAAGACATAGATTTTCCTGTTCATCTTATAACAATATCGCGAATAACAATAAGCGCGTTCCCTCCTCTCACGCGGGTTTATTTCGCCATAACAGCCGATCCATTGTGCTTAATCGTCACTTCTTCCACGCGTATAACACACCCCTTCTCAGATCAATCGGTGTCACGGTGAAATCGCTTATGACCGATGCTTCGCGATCACGACGGGTGGTCTCCGACGCGGAGCGCGATCGTGAAATTAAATCGAACGCGACTTCGACGCCCGTGACTATCGACGAATGGCATCTCCATGGGCGATGCGCCAGGACGCCTGCATCCGGCTGTCGTATCATATTACTCGCTCATACTCTATCCATTTGATAAATCATTGACGTCCTCGCGGGCGCAGCAGGCCCTTTCCTGTAGTTTATTACTTCGTAATCAGAGAAATTATTTCTTTTGCGATTAAATTTTAATGTTTTCTTCAGAAAGGGATTCTCATCTCTCTCTTTTTCTTTTTCTCTAATTCTTTAATTGTAACGATTTTTTAATTACTTTAAATTATGCGGAGAAAGCTGCGGCGAGACCACATCGTATCGATGATCGTCACAAAAACGTGGTCGGTGGCATAAGAATGTCTGCCCTTCGGTCGTCAGGGGATAATATCGTGTAATAATAATCGAAAAGGGGGGTGAGATGCGTGGTTGTTTGTATAGAATGGGGTGGTAGTATTTTAAATGCCAGTGATTTCATGTCTCCCCGGGGTGTACACGGACACCCTATATAGGACGATCCGGAGGCGTTCAAGTGCTCAGTCGACGACGAGAATCCGCCGTTTAGTAAGATTCACCGCAGATTTCTTGAGCCGCGTATAGTGGAAGTGACTTTTCGGAAATTTCTCTCATTTACAATTGATTACTTTTGCTCTGATTAATTATGACATTTTAGAAGAGTTAGCATATTTTGAGTAATAAAGATTTGTTGGCCGTAATTGTAAAATTTTCTCGGTCACAGAGTGTTCTGCAGCATGATTGCCATGGACGACGGATATTCTCAGTATCATAGATACTGTACGTACTTTTCAAGCATTTAAATTATGATTATTTCACAAATTTGAGATTTGAAAATGTAATTATGCTTTTGATATCGATTAATTATATGTTTATTAAAATATAACTATGATATAACTTCTCTTCATATATAAAAATAATAGAAAACGCAATCAGGAGACAATATTTTATGAACTCGCGTTCAATGTTGTACAAAATATTTTTCTTTTATTATAATAAAGAATTAGCTTCAACATGAAGATTTAAAGTCAGAGGATAACCGGAGTTGTACTTAATGACGCCAGCGTATAACGATAGAAAACTAAAAATCAATATTAGCCGCGTTCTTGCGATAGAGAAAGTGTCCTGTTGCAGCTTCTCGGCATATCGTTGAAAATTGACATGTCAGAAAGTTTTTTTTTTTTACCGAGAAACGAGGTTGCGATCCATTTTTGTCTTCTCACGCATAATGAATGATGTTAATCCATTTGACGACAGACAGCGTATATATTATTCAACCGATATTTGAAGTTGGTTGTTGAAGGAGTATGCATATATAATATTACACATTTTGTATTCTGCTTTATACTTAAGTGATTTAGGAAAGAAATATTGCGGATAGATAATTAATACTAATATTAGTAAGAATAATAGTAAAAAAATCGAAAAGATTGCTTTTTTATAAGATTCTACTGTGTAATTTGTAAATACTAAATGAAATAATCTTCATAATAATATTATATATTATTTTCTATTCTAAATAACTTTTCTTTTTATATTTATTACTTTATTTTGTTGCGCATTTTTATAAAAAATTCTTCTTTATCTTTAAAAGCTTAAATAATATACATTCTATTGTCTAATATAATAATTTAATAACCTGGAGGATATCGTTTGATGTTACAGGGCAACTGCATTCGCCGAACGGCGACAGCGACAACAGCAACGGTAGCCAGCGTGCGGTGGCTGTTACTCGCAACGAGGTAGAGCAGCAGCAGCAGCAGCAGCAGCCGCATCGCCAACGGCAGCCGCAACGTCAGGCAACAGCTACCGTTCCGGTTCTCGCCTGCACTAATCAATCGTCTATAACTACACCCACGACCGCCTTCACGGTGGCATCAAGCATGCTTCTTTTGCAAACACAGGTCAGTTCCATCTTTTTACTGTATGATATATCTCAGCTTTTGCTCGTTTCACGGAATTCGTATTAAATTTATTAAAAATTCAGAAATTGAGAAAGATAAAAAAGATAAAGATGGAGTAATCGAGAGCAAAACAATTGATAGCAAAGTTAAACGACATTCTGAATTGTCATCTGCATCACGAGTCTTGTGGTAGTTGTATCAGATCGGTTAAGCCTTCGTGCTTGCATGTCGACGTGACGCAACATATAAGCTGTAATTTTACGTAATAATATTCATCCGTGTAAACGCTCATATCTCTCATCTCATCTCAATTCTCATAAATAGTACCGAGAAGGTCTTGTGAGAAATATGGATATGTAATATTTCAAAACAAGAAAATAAATTCACGTGCGTGCAAACAGCGTATCGCATATCAATAATTTACAGTTGATTAAAAAAATTGACTTTTATTATTGTGAGTTATCGTTTTTCTATTTAATTTAACAAAATTATATATTTTTAGCGTTAAATCATTCAAAGGTATTTAATATTTTACTTAATAAGATCGATTTTAATTTAGAAAAATAATTTAATTTAGAAAATAATAATTAAATTGTTTTAAAGCTGATATTAAGCTGTAAGATTTATTGATCTTCTTTTCTGAAATCTCTTTCACTTCTTCAGTATTTTGCATAACGCGCCATTTTCCTCTCTTTGATCATTTCTTATCGTACGATTATCTCTTATCGGAGCAAAGCAGCCGGCGCTACATATCAAACGACAATCGTATGGCATATTAGCATTACGAGATATTGCCATCCACCTTCTTTCCCATGAACTCGCTTTTACGCGACCAGCTTGAAATTATCGCGTCACGATCCGACGGTTAATCTAATTCTTATCGACTCTCGGGCTCTCGGGATTCCACGATGATTCCGCATTGGTATATATAACAAAATTCTCCCATATTTCTGTGACCGTCATCTGCATTCATTACGCATAATCTGCATTTTGTCCTATCTGTTTCTCATTTTTTTCTCCTTTCTCCATGTCTTCCTTTCTACCCTGTTTCGATAAAATCTGTTTATATCTGCTTTCTTCTTCGTGCTGGATGAAATGGCATTGCAGTCAGTTAATGATTAAAATGGGAATGTGCCGCGGAATTAGCGGACCAGCACCAACATTGTCTCGATGATTTAACGGCAAGAAATAAAGAGGGTGGAGGAGGAGGGGCGCTTTTAGGACGCCGTTTAGCAGGACATTTATTCATGGTCTGGAAAGACGAGGCTTCGATCGCCGGTTCTCGGGGGAGCGATGAACGAAATGTCAGCCCGAAGCGGAACCGGCACTTGCAAATTGAATATCCACCCTCCTCGATCATCCCCGTCCTTCTTCTCGTGATGTTATCCTTCGGTCTACTCTCTCTCTCTCTCTCCCTGCCACAGTATTTTTGTTTTTCATTCTCGGATTTTAATACACAGATATTTCTTCAGAACTCAAATTTATTAATGGTGATGTGGATTTCTTTCAACTAAGTTTTGGTCTTTGAAAAAGATGACTATTATCATTTCATTGGCGGATATAATATTGCATCATTTGTGAAAATGTGTAAATATCATGAAAATAATATTTTTTTATTGAATGTATATTCTCTTTTTTTCCCAGAATTAATTAGCAAGAATTGGATAGATATTTTACATTAAACTATTTGTTTCTGTTATTACGTTTATATTTTTATCGCAATTGATTGAAGGCACATTAGTTTTGCAAAATTTAATGAACTTGTTTCACAAGCAGAAAGGAAAGTATTATTGCGCGATCACGCAAATCGCTCCGAGCAGATCAAGAAGTAATAAATCTTCATCGTTAATTTTGAAAGTTAGGTGAGCAGTTTACCGTTTGGATATTTTACGGCCGATTGAGTAATTCTCTTATTACGATATCTTGTAATACGTATAATTTCTTGTTGAATTATAAGATGTATCAGCGTCGTTTATTATCGTCCCATTGCCGCGGGAATATTTAACCAGGCTGCTATAGTGTTTTACCGTCTATCGACTATCGACTATCAATGATTGAATCAGGAGGGAGGGANNNNTATCGAGTATAATTAATTGAATAAGAAGGGAGGAAAGAGAGAGAAAGAAAGAAAGAGGCTCTAAGTCTCTATCGAACGCTAGCTTATAGACAACACGCGATACGAGTTTGGCTTGTCCAATCCTCTCTCGAACATCCTCACTGCGCACCTCGATTGTACATCGATGTCTCGCCGTGGCTCGCAATTGTGCTCGAGCAATGTTTCTGCCTTGCAGTTGGGTGCTTCGATTTGTCGTTCGCACGGCTTTCCGGAGGCCGTGATAACTTCGCTTTTTTCAAGGAAAAAAAAACATCGGCGTTTAAAATTGATAATCGATTTTCATTTATTCGGTATGTAATTAAAAAACAAAAGATTCGTAAAATTTATATCGATATGGTGTTCAAATTGGCTCACGTCATTTGTACTACGCAGGTATTTTTTATTTATATTCCTTTCATTTCTTCTTTTGTTATTTATTTTTTCTCGGTTTTCTATATATTTAATATTTTGTAATATTTATCGCGCTGGAAAGAGAGAGAAAGAAAGAAAGAGGCTCTAAGTCTCTATCGAACGCTAGCTTATAGACAACACGCGATACGAGTTTGGCTTGTCCAATCCTCTCTCGAACATCCTCACTGCGCACCTCGATTGTACATCGATGTCTCGCCGTGGCTCGCAATTGTGCTCGAGCAATGTTTCTGCCTTGCAGTTGGGTTCTTCGATTTGTCGTTCGCACGGCTTTCCGGAGGTGATAACTTCGCTTTTTTCAAGGAAAAAAAAAACATCGGCGTTTAAAATTGATAATCGATTTTCATTTATTCGGTATGTAATTAAAAAACAAAAGATTCGTAAAATTTATATCGATATGGTGTTCAAATTGGCTCACGTCATTTGTACTACGCAGGTATTTTTTATTTATATTCCTTTCATTTCTTCTTTTGTTATTTATTTTTTCTCGGTTTTCTATATATTTAATATTTTGTAATATTTATCGCGCTTTTTTTATTGCGTCAAACTTTTGTGTAATATAAATTTTTATTAAGAAATTGTTAATGATATTTTATCGAATTATGTAAAGATTTATTGTTAAAGTATCTTTTTATTATGTTTGGTTAATTCTATAAACTATTATTACGCCAATACATTTGCTTTCTATTTTTCTAATATTTATAAAATTATTTTTGTGCTGTCTTATATTTTCAAATTTTACATAACTTTTTTATTTATCATATAGATTCTGGTACTATATACTCTGTATGCCGTTGCTTATAGATATGGTCGCGATTTTTCATTACAGAGCTCCTTCGGAAGCAGTTTCGCGGAATTGCTAAGTGGTCCTTATTCAGACCCTGCGGATGCCGGAAGCTTGCCCGAGGAGCTGGACCCCTTTCCAGAGTTGCAGCTTGGAAATCCGCAAGCCGTATCTTCGGTCGATGAGTCTGCTCAGTCTCACCAAAATATACACCATCAACAGCCATCGCAATCACCACCACCACCGCCCTCTCTCCCCGAGGACATCCAGACCGATTCCCTTAGGTATATATGCAGATTTCTTTTTTCAAATTTTTAACATTGATAATCTTAATTTTTACAAGAGTTTTTTTCAAGTAATATGGCAAGAAAACTATTTATATTATCTTTAATATAATATTATCGAAACAATTTGAATAATAGAATTTTATATACGGGATTTGTATAAAATGCGATATATATTTTTGATCGCAGTCCTACACCCTTGCCGAGCTTCCAGGAGACCTACACAGTGCAGCGATATAGACAGGAACTCCAGGGCCTTGGCATCAAGATGGATGATGAATGTTACGATACCTCAGTATATCCTTGCACCACCACTCACTATCCGACCGAATTTCCGGCTACAGTATCCTATCACGAGCACCAACAACAGCCGCAGCAGCAACATCCTCACCATCATCCGCCGCATCATCAACAACAACAGGCCCCGCATCATCATCAAAGTTACTTTCCTACGGAATCGGCGCCCACTCCGGCAACGACAGTCGTTCCGCCCTCGAATCATCGACAGGATCCATCCTATGGTGTGGCTGTCACCGTGCCTATGGTTTATGGGGCACCATCGGCCATCGCCAACGTCGCTACTCCCGTAGCTCCTACTGATCTCTGTCCTAATGTCGATACTAGCGTTGTAATTGGCACCACTAGGTCGCGAAGGGCGTCGCTGCCTACTCAGAGATCAGAGTCGGCAAGGTAAGATTTTTCACGAGATAATTATGATAAATAAAATCACGTCTCATTGCTCCTCGTCTAAATTAACGGCATTCTAATGTGAAAGAAACGAGAAACTTTTTCACATACTATCTTGTTTAAATTTATTATGGTTTAGTCACAATTTTAATTGTTGAATCAAGTTTATTTAAAGAATATAGAGGCGCAAAAAACTCAAATGTGTATTTAGTATTTCTAATTAAATTTTTAATTAAAAAAAAATGTAATATATCTTCAAACTTATATATATGACAGATTTTCCATTCTATCATAAATATTGGAAAATATGATTCATACTGTCGATCATATGACACGTATTACACGTTTCACGAGGACACGAGACGCGACAGTTTTGGGAGAATCCCTGTTCTGACTAGCGACGGATTATAGATCAATGCGCGTTCTGTGTCGTGTTAACAGTAGTGGGAGCATAGAGTCCCCGAAGCCGCGCGGCAGCGGCGGCACCGCAAGCTCCACTGTCAGTTCGCCATCGCCCGGAAGCGGTACCAGTGGAGAACGCGCACCCCCGAGTCCGAGTCAGCTCTGCGCCGTGTGCGGCGATACCGCGGCCTGTCAACATTATGGCGTGCGCACTTGCGAGGGCTGCAAGGGCTTCTTCAAAAGGACCGTGCAGAAAGGCTCCAAGTACGTGTGTTTGGCCGAGAAAGCTTGCCCGGTGGACAAGCGCCGCCGAAATCGCTGCCAGTTCTGCCGGTTTCAGAAGTGCCTGATGGTCGGCATGGTCAAGGAGGTAAATAATGACATTACGTTGCACAAAATAATTGTAAAACGTCTTTTTCTCGAATTTATCAGCTTATATCGAGTTTCAAAATTCTAAAGTATGATAAAATAATAAATTCTCGCGATGATTAATTGTTTCAATGAATTTTGTCAAAGTTGTTTCTAAGATTTAAAGCCTGTTTTGAATGATAGCAAGAACTGTAACGCGAACGGATGTGAAATAAAATCAATAACTGATTATATTATTTAATCGTTGCACAGGTTGTTAGAACAGATTCTTTGAAAGGTCGGCGAGGCAGATTGCCTTCAAAGCCCAAGTCACCGCAGGAATCTCCACCGAGTCCGCCGGTTTCCTTGATTACGGCTCTGGTACGTGCCCATTTGGATACAACGCCGGACAAGGCGAGTCTCGATTATTCGCAATACCGACAACCGAGACCGGGCGACCCCCCGATGACCGAGGCCGAGAAGATTCAACAATTCTACAATCTGTTAACTACCTCGATCGACGTCATCCGAAACTTTGCCGACAAAATCCCCGGATTCACGGATCTAGTACGGGAAGATCAGGTGAGCGATAAGATACAGTCAAGGATACATAAAAACTTTAGACAATTCAAAAATTGGAAGATAATTCTTCAAAAAAAAATCAGGAAAACTTTCCAATTATAGAATTTTTACATTGAATCCGCGATTCTTCATTTAGTTTAATTACTCATTCTTCATCGTGTCTTCGTCTCTTTTGTCATCGAGACATACGTCACTTTCGTAGTATATATCAAGCCGGTCAGGTATCGATTTTCGGACGATATCCATTGGGAACTAGCGGTTATAGAAATCGATAGTTCATACATTTTCTAAAAGGTCAGTCTTGACGAGCTTTTGACGAGCGGCTGTCTAGTAAACTGCTCGCGAAAAGACAGTAGATGTTAATTTGTTAATATATCATTAAAACTAGTGAGAAGATTTTGCTGCTTATTGTCAGATTATATCTAAATCAAACTATAAATCTAATTGTTATTTCTTTATAAATGTAATTTGATAACGTAAATGAGATAAAATAGTTTGTTTTGATTAATCTGATGGTGATTTTGATTAATTTAACAGTTTGCATTTTACCGATAATCGCATATTAATAATTTTGCGATTAATCTGATTCCAGGAATTGCTCTTCCAATCAGCCAGCTTGGAATTGTTCGTACTCAGGTTGGCGTACCGCACAAATCCGGACGATACTAAACTGGTGTTCTGCAACGGTGTCGTCCTGGCGTTGGAACAATGTCAGCGCAGTTTCGGCGATTGGCTGCACAGCATTCTCGACTTCTGCAAAGCCCTTCACTTCTTGGAGGTCGACATTAGCGCCTTCGCCTGCCTGTGCGCTCTCACCCTCATTACTGGTTAGTACTCGTATATAATTCGTTTGATACTTTCACACTTTTCATTATATTATTAATTAAACAATCAAGTTTAGATTACTACATTTATAATTATCACTGTTACTTACTATAAATATAAATTGTATAGTGATCGCATAGTTGTCAATTTGCAATTTTAATAATAGTCGCTTTAATGGCGCTTTCAATCTCCCTTCACTCTGTTCCCCTAACCTGTATTCCGATTATACCGACCTGTCTACGGGATAAATAATTAATTCGTCGAATCAATTAATTATTGATGTTCCGACGAAAGGAACGACGGTGCTCCGCGTTTTGCACGCGATCTATTGGCAACCGGACATGCAGGTGTGCGGTTTACAGGCGCGTTCACTCGCAGTTTCCATTAGATAGCTACGTATTGAAAGTTGCGTGACTGATATTACTATACTTTAATTGATCAGTATTTCTTAATCTCGTGAATGTTAATGATGCCACAATTAAATCTTAAATTGTATTATAAGATCAATAGCAAGTTTTTTTGTAAAATATAGAATATTGTTTATATTGTTCAGAGATTTTCGCGATCTAATTTTTAGTATAGTGTAATTTTCAATCGATAATAATGACGTCACTCAAGTTTTTTTTGTAAAATTTCAGAGAGATATGGATTAAAGGAGCCGCAGCGCATGGAACAGTTACAGATGAAGATTGTTTCGTCTTTGCGTGACCACGTGACTTACAACGCCGAGGCGCAGAGGAAATCGCAGTACCTGTCTTATTTACTAGGCAAACTACCGGAGCTGAGGAGTCTCTCGGTCCAGGGCCTCCAGCGAATCTTCTACCTGAAGCTGGAGGATCTGGTGCCGGCACCTCCTCTAATCGAGACGATGTTTGTCGGTAGTCTGCCCTTTTAAACTGAGCTGAGCATAGTCTATGGCTCGCCAGCACATAGAACAATTACTTTCTCAGACCCGTGCGGTTGCGTTATCTTCGTTCTAATTGCATCCTTCTTAGTTCGTATTACTACACGTAGCTTTATTCTCTTCTTGCGTGTAACTTCTCGCGCGATCTCGCGGGTACATTGCGGTCCTCGACGAAGCCTTGACATCTTGTCGTACTTCGTGAAGAGTATCATGAAGGATTCGTCGGGCAGGAAGAGCAAAGAGAACCATTACTGGTCGTACGAACGAGCGTGAAAATTATCCGCGCGGATTCAACGTGCGTGAACGGTAATCTTAAGGAAAAGTTCTACGCGTGTATGTGCGAGTGAATGTGTACATGTGTGAATAAGCAATTGTGTGTATCATGTACGAATGCATGGACGCAGGTCTCTGCATGCGCGACGAGTGGCGGGCGTCGAAGACGTCGTTACTATTAGTAGTAAGCTACTATTGCTATTGCCGACTACTAAGTCAGCGCAAGTGGAAAGCGGGCGTGAGGCGAGTTGCGAGGCGGTTTCGCTATTCTCCCTCTTCTAGTTATAGCAGATTTCGCGCGGACTCGGATGCGGATGGAAGGAGGGATTCCTCTCTCTGAGACGGGAAGATTTTCCGCGCGAGGAACGCAAATTTTTCTCACTTTTCTATCTAGTTTGTACGAGACTCTCCTTGCCTCGCCTCGCCTCGTTCCCGTGGCTAACATGCGCCGACCCGTCACTTCTCCAACATCTCGGTAATATCTTCGGCAATACCTTGCCCGTCGCTGGAAAACGCATCGGCGATTCGCAACATATCAGAGCAATGACGAGGAGAGTGAATGACGCTCTCCCGTCTTGACAGTAGACGTAGGATATGACTGTCGGTTACGCCCTTGACGGCCGGACGATGCCGAGTGCAGATGCATCGATTGATTATCGAAATGCGTGTAAAGAATTGATGCAATTCTACGTCGAATTAAATATATATATTTTTTATTATTTCTTTTTTGTTTTATATCATGTAGTCATATCTGTCCTAATAATGTGCGCTTTGGATTCTCAAGTCAAATTGATTTGGATTGAGCACGGTAAAGAATATCGAATGAAAAATTAAATGATGAAAACTGGAATGTAAAGGTAAACTGTGAGGTTCATCATTTAACAGCAACACATGTCTCTTGGATATCTATGATAATGGAAAATGAGTTTAGAAGCGACGTACTATTATTTTATGAGTTTAAGGAAAACCGTAAAGGGAAATTGTGAACTATTTTATTAGATAGATTTTCAATTGTAGTATTTTTATAGATACTTTTTACACATTTTATATACGTCAGTCTTTTTTAAGAGGAGATTTATCACACAAGAATTCAACAAATATTTCAGATATTAATGAATCTTAAATCGTAAATTTACTAGGCATTTTTACAAGCATTTTACACAACTAGATCCATCCTAGTAGTTTAAAATTGCATAGCTTTGCTATATAAATTATCAATGAATAGAAAAAGCTTAACGCATCTTTTAATTCAATCGCATATTTTGATATCGAAATTAGAATGACTAAATGTACAAATAGATTTTACAGTTTTAGTTCACAGATTCGATTTAAACATTTTCACCAGGGAACTTTGATGAACTTCAGATTTTTTTATTCGTGGAGCTTTTTTTTTCTCGCAATGCACTCACAACCAAACTCGGCATCGTCAGTGTCATTGGGGCGTTGTCTAAGGCGCATGATCGATATCAATCGGTTCTTTACCACTACTCTTGCGTTTATGTGATTTTAGAGAGCTAAGGCGAACAACCACGGGCTCACCTCGTTCGTTTAAAATAGAGACAGAGAGAAAGAAAGAAAGAAAGAAAGAGAGAATGAGAGTGAGAAAGGAAAAAAAGTGAATTCAGTACGATGGCGAGGTGGGCCCGGCTTAAAGTTACCTATTACGTTATGACATTTACTTTTAATCAAACTAACGTAGAATGTCCTATTTATATACGTATAACGCGCCGCTACTACTACTTAACTACTACTTTACTATACCGTTATACTTATTACTACTCATTAATAGCGTTATTACTCTATGACGTTACTACCACTACTACCACTGTTACCAGCGTTACCTTTACTACCACTTTGTGTTACCATTGTCTCGCTACAGTAAGCTTCACCATCGCCGTCGTCGTCGTCGTCGTTTTAAAACGTCCTTCATCGCACCAGTGCCCTTCGATTGACACGACAGACGAGAGAGAATGCTAAACAGGCATCCTCGTCTCCAGGATTACCGCAGTCGGCACGCATCTCTATTTTTGATGTATCTTTGTATTTTATCCACATTCAAGTACACCGTAAGATAAAGTAAGATTGCAGATCGGGAATAACTTTGCATGCAGCGAAAAAAGATTTAATCATTATTTCTACTCTTGAGATAAATATGAAAATTTTAATATAAAAATCTTAAAGAGAAGTATATGCAAAAGAATTCTCTTTTTTAAAATATATTTTATTTTATTTAAAAAATTATATTAAAAATTAATAACTTCTTTCTCTCTCTCTCTCTCTCTCTCTCTCTCTCTCTCTCTCTCTCTCTCTTTAGCTTTCTTTTCTCTTCTCTCTCTTTGTCCTTTGCTTTTCATTGTTTATAAGCCTAATTTTATTTTATTTACACAGATATACTGAGCTTTTTCTTTTTAGTTTTCGAGATAATATTTACAAAATCAATAATAAGTCCAAGATTAAATTTTTATAGTTATTGCAATTAATTATCTTCATATATTCCATTAGATGATTCTGAAATCTATTTTTGTTCAGGCGTAGTTACTCCGACCAATGTAATCTTACGATAACCACTATGCGTCGCTATCATAAAGCGATCCGAGCTTCGTAAACACGACAAATCAGGCATTGTTTTCACACCGTGATCCATACAAACACATATAAGCAAACATAAACACATACATAAACAGAGACACATTTACACAGAAACCGCATTAATTACCTGTACGTGCACAATAGATATGATAATTATGTGTGTATATGTTAATCTAAAATCGTATGTATCCGCAAATGCTCGACGCATCGCGGATTGGGCAGAATCGATACCCAGATCGATTTTGCTTTTTTATTAATTCTTTACGATTGTAAATCCTTGAATTAACATCTTCTATATTTTGTTTAGCAATTAGTCGCGTCATGTTTTTGATGCATGATCTCTTGACTTATTCCGCGCACATAACAAGGTGCACAGAATAAGTCAAATATCCGCATATATTTCTGTCGCTAGAAACAGGGATCAGCCTCATTTTATCTTCATTTACTGTTTTGATTTCGTAAATTTTTGCGATATTTCTGAAACTTTTGTCAATACTAATTAAAAATCTCCATTACAATCGCGTACGAAAAGAAATTCATTTTATACCAAGATGAGTTTATGAGACATAGTTGATTTGGCAAAAAATAATTTTTTATATATAGAACATCATATGTTCTTTAGAAATCGTGATCAATAATATTTAACTACCAAGTGCAAATCTGTAAAATAATTTTGGCCGTAAAGAATTAATTAATAATTTTGATATATATTGCTATTTATTAATAATTATTATAAAGGAATGCTTTCCTTTATAATAGAAAATTAGATTCGCCATAATAATAATCTTAACACAACATTTCCGCGGAAACTTATATACTTGATTATAATAATGTTACCATCAAATTTTTATTTTTATTGATTTATATCAATATATTCATCCCTGAAAAATGCATTGGAGAAAAAAAGATATTCAAAATGTTTCGTTTAAATTACATGCTCTAATATACTTATCACATATGGTGAACGCAATCGTTGCTATACTGTCCAATATCGGCATGACAGCTCTTATATGGTATGCATGATATCATATGTGTATTAAACATTAGCGATATAATGTCATAATGAATGATTAATCAAGTCAGTTAATACTCTAATTATCTTTCTACAAAAAAGTCTATTAATTCCGTTTCTAGCGCCCAAAATTTTGTTTTATCGTAAAAATACAAGACAACCAATGGACAATACGTCCATAATTTCCAAAAAAATAATGTCGCAAAGAACATTTCTCCATGTACCAAATGATTCGTTAATAGTACGTCCACGTTTGCGGATAAATACGTGTGCAAGTGTTCAAAAGACAAAATGCCCGGTAAGAATGCAAGGTAAACAGAATCGGAGGGTGCAACGGCTCGAGCAACCCTTGCGATCGAAATTAGAATAACATGAGCCAGAGTGTCGATATCGTTTCCTTATTCGAGGATCGTGCGAAGGGTACAAAATTTCGAAAGCGTTTGAAGGAAACTGATTCGCCCTGCAAAATTGATAGCAATAAGATAAGAAAATTCTTGTTTAAAATATGCCAAATGCCATTGGTGCCAATGTCCTGTCAAGATATTTTGTAACGTGAGAAATAAGATCGTTATGATTCTATCGATTGAAGAATTTTAGAAATATAAAAATCTTGCCTTTAGAATTTCTAAAAACAAACATTTTTTGACAAAAAGTCTTTTAACATAGCTATGAGAGATTATAACAAATATTTCTAGGCATATAGGAACAATATCATTAGTCGTTGAGCTTGTGAAATATTTATAAAATAATGTCTTTTCGGTAAATATAAATGTTTTCGTCCGTCCATTGCGAAAATAAATATTTAATAATGGACTAGATGTGCATAGGCAAAGAAAATATTCCAGAATATAAAAATAACTAAAAAATAAATAATTTGGTGTTAATGATAAAAAAATGAAGCAGACATTGGCATCGATTTACGCGGCAATATAACAAAAAACGAAAATTTTCATATTTATAAGAAACGCTTGGGTGCAATTGCGAATCCTCGAGGACAAGCGCTTTGTCTGAGATTTGCCTTACTTTCTCCTCATATCAGTCCTCATATTTTGACGGGATCTTCGAATATAGGGATTGACTTTTTTGTCCGCGCGAATAAAGTGTCAAGTCCAGAAAAGATTTCAGGAGAGGAATTATCAGTCGCAGAAGGATCGAGATCAAGATTTCACAAAAGACTCGACTAGAACGGGAGAGAAACACAAAAAGAATTCCGATTTCCGTAAAGCAGGAAAGAGAGGTTCGAAATGATGTATATGTTTTTTTATTCTATATATGTATCTTTTTTAACGAGAGTCTACGCGAAGATAAAAGCGCGAGACTGATGTCTTCCTGATCCTGAAAAATCATCCCTGGACCCAGCACTGCGGCGAATTATTTTTTAAGAGAAATTGTCATAAGGAGAACAGGCGAGAGAGAAAGAAATGCGAAAGGTAGGAGAAGAGGAGGAGGACAAAATCGGATCGTTTGGGCCTGAACAATAAAATCGTTCTCACAACCAAACAAACGCGATCGTCCCAACGTTTGTTGTCTAAACCGATTATCTGTCATTACTGTAACGAAATAACAGTCAATTTTCCGCTAGGTGTAAATCTATCCCCTTCTCCCCGTTTCATCGATGTATGCAATAAATGTTCGATCAACAGATTATTTGCAAGTTCTCTCCGAAATTTTGTTAATAAATTATTTCGATCGACGTCGTAACACTGAGTTTATCTATATCTATCGCTGATTCGTAAAACGGCAGATGTTTATGTACAGGATATTCCACCGTGAAAACAATACGGAACTTGTCGCACAGTTCTTCGTCAAAATGATGGAAAGGTAATTACGATGTTTGAAAGAAAACACGTCACACATATAATGCACTACATGCATTTCTAAGATTTATTAAATTTCTAAATAAATTTCAGATTAGTTTCTCATAACGCGCTTTCTTCATGCACAAGTTATTAAATTTTCTCTATATCATTTTGAAGAAGAACTAATTATTTTAAGGTGTAATTTGAATTTTTTTCTCGAAATTATGTATAGAGCAACTTTTTGATGTGTGCATTGTAGAAACTCTTCTCACTTTTATAAGCACACTATTAAGAGAAACGAATGTCCCTTATAAAAATAAAAATTAAAAATAATTGTAAAAATTATAGTTAACTATATTTTTAAATTAGTCGAAACATGAACATAATCACACAATTCTTTTTATAAACATTAACTTGCAAATACAATTTTCTGGTTACATATTTTTCAATATCTGTGAATTTGGTATCATTGTAAAAACTTCCAACTTGAGAATCTAATAAATGTTAGGTTTTTAAATCAATAAGTATCTTGTTTTGATGTAAACAAGACAAATTTATTTGAGTAAAATTAATTAAATGCCTTTTAAAATTACATTTTTTACTTTTTGATTAATTTTTCACTGCTTCACTCTATTGTACGAATGTCTGCACCCATATACCACACATCACATATACACATATATGCTCGGCCAAAAAATCGCGTTTATAAATGTATGACAAATGTACTCTGACACGCGCTTAATCTATATATATATATATATATATGCACCATGAAGAATGAGCGTTGTACCGAAAATAAATCGACTAAATTAATATACACATAGCCAAAGAGACAATGTGAATAGCAGCCAACAAACGTCCACATAAGTGTTGTAAGAAGATTCAAACTAAAAAAAAGCATTATGATCTTTTGATAGATCGTCGATCTTTCTTCCCCCTCTCCCTTTTTATATGCTACATATTATGCAAATGATTGAATGCATTAATCGTAAATTAATAAGAAGGAAACGAAACGGGGAAAGCTGATGGAAATGACGAAAATATCGACGGCCGTACGAATTGAGAAGTGGTAATTAATTGCATCGCGAGTATCATGTGATCTCGCCGTGTGATTACGCGATCTATGCATGAAAGATAAAGATAGAGAGAAAAAGAAGAAGAGAAAGTATGCGACATATGTAACTTTTGCGGCTTGCAATGTAAAAAAATACGAAAGAAGAATACTTGGCGCCAATCTTTTCATCCATACGACCGTCGATCGTCGGTGCGACGCATAGCGTAATATGTCACTGTGTAATACCGTACTCGAATATTAACACACACATATACACACACACACACACTCTCTCTCTCTTTCCTATTCGCCTTTTATTCTACTTTCTTTCTCGCGTCATTAGTTTGCTCTTACCGTTTCCCTATTTTCATATCCGCCTTCTCGACATATTCTGTCTTCTCGATATACTCGTTTTACTTCTCTCGCCTTCTCCCTCCCTCTCTCCTTTCCTATCTCTTTCTCTCTTTTGCCGTTCCGTTATAACGGAGCAAGGAGCAGCCTACTATTCAGGATACTACACGGTTAGCTGCAACGAAATCAATGGAAAGTTTTGTCTACCGTAACTCGTGATGCGCTTTCTATATATTTTACACACACACACACACATATATATATATAAATATCGCGCATTTTATATGCTGATCATATACATATAAATATATATATATATATATAAATATATATACTTTCGATATAAATGACGAAGGGAGGCAGTTCAAAGGCAAGACGTGAGAACAAAAAAAATTATAACGATTATATTTTATAAATAAAAAATTGACTTGTGATATAGATGGTAAGGCACGCGAGAATGCGTTGCGTTGCATTACGAAAGCAAATGTATTCTGTATATCGTTTCATTAAATCTACTAAAACGAGAACGATCGGCTAGTTTTTCGCGCCCTTTCTACTAAATCCTCTCACTCACCCTTCGTTTATATTTCTTCCTCTGCTTGTCTATAACAATTCGCGATGCATCCGACATCTTTTTAGTTCAAGGACAGCTTTTTACGTTAATCCATTCTACCAACTATGAAGGACAGTTGTGCACACCTGGCCGTAGCTCTAATACGTCATACCGGTTTTAGAATTTACATATGCGAACAATCGAGATCCAGACATTGATGCTGTTTTAATTGTAATAAGGTTTCTTTATACAAGCTTTTATACCGGTAATAAATTAATATGAATAATTGCAAAAGATAATATTGATTGTTGACTAATGTATTCGGAACATAGTGTGACACAGATGTAATATTGACGTTATCAATAATACAATCCTAAGATTCTTGTAAATATGTATGAACTTGCAATGTTCTTGGAAATAATTCTGAGTTATTAATTAATTTATATTAAGTTATATACACGCATTATTGGTTAAAAATATTTTTTTAAAGATTTAGTTTTTATACATGTTTAAAGAAGAATATTCGAGTAAGAGATTAAACAGCTATACGTTTATTTATTCTCAGTTTCAATGTTAAATTCGCTGAAAATGAACCAAGTCTAATGTAAATAAAAGAAAGATGCATAATATTTGCAATCTTGTAGTAAACATACCTGTAATCTGTAATGTGTTTGTATATTAATCTTCCTATGCTGTATGGGTTTAAAAATGTCGAAACACACTCGTAGACACATTGTCACCTGTAAAGAAATCATAATCACTATGTTAAATAACTATCATATACATATAGAAATAGATCTAAGATATATACATATATTTTTCTATAATATTTTTTACAAGATAACGGACACACATGTACAAAATAACCTATATAATAAAATTGGCTCATGTATTTGCAGCAGATTGATCTGTGATAGATAAAAGACAATGATCCGACATTTTAACTTTCAAAATAGTATCAAATATATTTTAGTTAATGTTACGTACCTATCTGTAATATAAATTTCTAGAAAATTCCTTAATGATTAAAGTTTGAATGGTGTATTATTAAATGTCTCTCTGTATACGTAGCAAATATTTATGGCGGGCGATGATATTGAACGCTCGTAAATTGTCCGTATTCGCGAAAATGATATTTGTGCGAAAGAGATGATATTCCTCGAAAGATGAGATTGCAACTTACCTTGAGCATCTAAAATCAAAAGACCCACCAACGTAACGGTTTAATCTTGCGCACGGATGCTTAACCAATGCGGCTGCTGGCAAGCAGTGCCAGGTGACGCGCGCATCAGCTGGCGCATGCGAGTTGCAAGGCGGTAGCACGCTCTGAGAAAGTAGTTCCGCGCTCGCGAAAACACAATACGATCGTAATGGAAAAATGCGACGGTAGTTTCGCCCCCGGGACCGTCATTGCGTCGATTCCGCATTATTCTTCGCAAGGGGCTGCGTTTTCACCCGGTGTGAATCGCGGTTCGTACGTAGATTCGGGCACGTGAATATCAAAGAGGTGCAGATATCACTGCGCCGCACATTGTGTGCAAAGGAAGCGAATGCTAGGAGTGAGAGAGAGTGAGAGAGGGCGATTAATCGCGCCGCCGATTTCAAGTGAGAGAAGGAGAAGGAGAGAAGATAGACTGCCAGCACAGGAAGTGGGTGTGCAGGGTAGGGGGAAAGTCGAAGGCAGTTGAGTCGGTGGTGGCTACATGTGGATATCCGCCGGTCGCGCCGAGAACTTTCGTATCAAAGAACAGGCGTAAACTATACTGTATATCTCCCGTCGTAATCGCGGGACTCGTGACGAATCGCGCCGTAAACGAGATTGATTTGCCGTTAGCCATGCAGATGGATCCAACGACGTTGCAGCTGATCCAATTCCTCGAGAGGACCGTCTCATCGGGTGAGTGTGTCGAGTCCGTACCCATCGTGCCATCGTCGCCGACGTCACGTTATACCGGCCCGCACGATTTTCTCGGTCAAGCGTCCGTCTTTTCGGAATATCTCGTATCATGGGGAACGCAATATTCGCGCGCACGCAACGACGATCCCGATCGCCGATGGTGCCGAAATTAAAGTCGCAAAAATCGTTTCGCGTGCGCGTCGCAATTGATGCTCCGAAAAATTCATACGCAACGTGCTTCTCTCGCGGCTATCGCCGTCTTCGGCTTCACCGTCGTTTTCCAACAGCGCATTCGTCGTCTTTATCGCGCGGACGGGATCGCGAGCCATTTCGCACGCGGTTACGCACGATATCGCGCCCCGTCGTGCTGTTGCTAGGCGCTTTGTTCCCCGCCGGAAAAGTATTGTCTCGTGCGACGGTTGCTCGCATCTGCACGTCGCTGTTCGCGATACGCGAGGCGCCTTCGCCTCGATTGTCTAACCTATAATTTTCCGCTGCGCACGCGATTAACATGTCCCTCTCTCATTTTCAGATAAGAATGAGCTCGTGGCAGCGCAGACTTTTCTGCAGCATGCGGCCGACTCTAATCTTGTGAGTAACTCGATGGACTGACGATCGACAATTTTGCAAAAGGGAATGTCTGCGTTATAATACTTATCGTTGTGTTTTTTCCAGCATGAATTCGTGCAACGACTCAGCGCCGTGCTGGTCACAGTCGGCGCGAGCCCCGTCGCCCGCATGGCAGCGGGTCTACAGCTCAAAAACCAACTTACCTCCAAGGACCCAGACATGAAGTTCCAGTACCAGCAACGCTGGCTCACTATCCCTGCTGAAACAAGGGATTATATCAAGAAAAATGTAAGACATATTCTTATATCTCTATATTATTAAAACTTTAATGCACCTTCTCTGACTTTATCAAGCAGAGATGATTTTATCATTTATCTAAAATTACAAAATAATATTCATATGATTTATCTATCTCTAACATCAGGAATCTTTAATAAGAGAATACAATGTTTCTTTTTTCTATCTTTATGTTATCTTCGTTTTTATATATGTATGTTTATCTTTCAAAGATAATTTTTAAATTGTAGAATAGAAACTCTGTATGTCTGAATACCTGGAATATTTAATCATATTTGTTAGAAAGGTTTTATTATGTTATGTATGTTAAGAAATAAAATTTTATAGCGATCAAGCTGCTGAAACATATATCATTTTCCTTTATATGACAGATATGTGGGATATTTATTCTTGCAGATTTTAGGAGCATTAGGAACAGAAAACAATAGGCCAAGTTCTGCGGCGCAATGTGTCGCTTATGTTGCTGTTGCCGAATTGCCTGTGGGACAATGGAGCGAATTAATTCCATTGTTAGTCAATAATGTTGTCAACCCGTCCAGTACCGAAGTGATGAAGGAAGCCACTCTAGAGACTATTGGATATATCTGTCAGGAGATTGAGAGTGAAGTGCTGGTATCGCAATCAAATGAGATTCTCACTGCTATCATTCACGGTATGAAGGGTTCCAGTACGTCAAATCATGTTCGACTAGCAGCAACAAGCGCCTTATACAATTCCCTGGAATTTACTAAAGGAAATTTTGAGAAAGAGGTTAGTATTAGGCATATAATTACCATACAATTTGTGATAAACAACTAACGTTTTGAGATTTTAATCACTTACAGACAGAACGAAACTTCATAATGGAAGTCGTGTGCGAAGCCACTCAGTCCACCAATACCCAGATCAGAGTGGCTGCGTTACAGTGTCTTGTGAAAATTATGTCACTGTATTACCAATATATGGAACCATATATGGCTCCAGCACTGTTTCCTGTAAGTTTCTATTTAATTAATTTATTTAGATAAAAACTATTACAATGTCAAATAATATTAAAAGTAAAAAAAAGAAAGGTATACAGTTAAAGCTGTCTTATTTCTCTCTTTCCAGATTGGAAAAAATGGCTTTGATTTTCCAAATTATCGCTTTCCTGTAATATGTATACAAAATTACTGATAAATTTTTATTTTTTTTGCAGATTACTTTAGAAGCTATGAAATCCGACACTGATGAAGTGGCACTTCAGGGAATAGAATTTTGGTCGAACGTATCTGATGAGGAAGTTGACTTATCAATGGAAGAAGGAGAAGCATCGGAAGGAGGCCGCCCGCCGCTGAAAGTCTCGCGACATTATGCTAAAGGAGCTTTACAATATCTTGTACCGGTATTGATGAAAAAATTAACCAAACAAGAAGAGTTCGATGATGAAGACGATTGGAATCCTTCAAAAGCCGCCGGAGTATGCTTGATGCTACTCTCCAGTTGCTGTGAAGAATCCATTGTTCCATTCGTTCTTCCCTTCGTCAAGGATAACATTAAGAGTCTCGACTGGAGGTATAGGGATGCAGCTCTTATGGCGTTTGGCTCGATTCTCGGCGGTTTAGAACCTGCCACATTGAAACCGTTAGTGGAACAGGCTATGCCCACTCTCATCGAGCTGATGTATGATAGTAGTGTGGTCGTTCGGGATACCGCAGCATGGACATTCGGCCGTATATGTGAGATGATTCCAGATGCCGCAATCAATGAGACCTATCTGAAACCACTGTTGGAGTCTTTGGTGAATGGATTGAAAGCCGAACCGCGCGTCGCTGCCAATGTATGCTGGGCATTTACAGGATTAGCAGAGGCAAGCTATGAATCTGCTGAAGTGAGCGAAGATGCCACTCAGCCAGAAACATATTGCATGTCACAATACTTCGATTTTATTATTCAACGACTCTTAGAGACAACGGATCGACCAGATGGCGCTCAAGCCAATTTGAGATCCGCTGCTTATGAGGCATTGATGGAGATGGTAAAGAATTCACCGCGCGACTGTTATATGACTGTGCAGAAGACTACAATGGTGATACTTGAACGATTGCAGCAGGTATTACAGATGGAGTCGCATATACAGAGCCACTCTGATCGCGCCCAATACAATGATCTGCAGTCATTGCTCTGTGCAACTTTGCAGTCTGTATTACGTAAAGTCACTCCAGAAGATGCACCTCAAATATCCGATGTGATAATGACTGCTTTGCTGTCCATGTTCAACTCGAACTCGTGCAAATCGGGCGGTGTACAGGAAGATGCGCTCATGGCCGTTTCGACTCTGGTCGAAGTATTGGGTGAAGGCTTTCTAAAATATATGGAGGCATTCAAGCCTTACCTTTGTCTTGGTCTAAAGAATTACGCCGAGTACCAAGTGTGCTGTGCTGCGGTCGGTCTCACCGGTGACATCTGCCGCGCACTGAAGAGCAAAATGATACCTTACTGCGACGAGATTATGACGCTGTTGCTCGAGAATCTCAGCAACAACGCCGTCCATCGATCAGTTAAACCGCAGATCTTTTCGGCTTTCGGCGACATCGCCATGAGTATTGGACCAGAGTTCAAGAAATATTTGGACGTTGTACTACAGACGCTAGTGCAGGCGTCGCAGGCTAACGTAGATAGGAGCGACTACGATATGATCGATTATTTGAATGAGTTGCGCGAGGGCGTACTCGAAGCTTACACTGGCATTGTCCAAGGTCTTCGCGGCGATGCGAACAATTGCCCAGACGTTGCTATCTCTCTTATCGAGCCGCACGTGCCGTTTATTATACAATTCATCACTTCGATAGCACAGGACCGCGAGCATTCTGACGGCAATGTGTCAGCTGCGGTGGGCCTACTGGGTGATCTCGTTATGGTGTTTGGAGTCAAATTGTTGCCCATGGTGGAAACTGAACAGCTTAACGAGCTGTTGGCTAAGGGTAGGAAGTCGCGAACTCACAAAACTAAACAGCTGGCGACTTGGGCTGCGAAGGAGATTCGGAAGCTCAAGAATCTCGCCAATGCTACGTCCAGTTGGTGAGTACTGTATCTCATTATATTCTTTCAAAATATAAACGCCGTGCCTAATCGTCGCAATAATCTCGATGCAATTTGATCTCATTTTAACGTGCAATGCACTAACATCGCATTTTATTTTGAGTTCTCTCCAACTCGTATTTCAGTTTCATTGTTCCATTAGAGCGACGAGATTCATCTTTGTTACTTTTGCTGCTCCTCTTCTCGCGCTTTTCCGCGCTCCGCCTTTATCATGCACATTTTATCGTACATGCTTCGGCATTGTGAAGTTTAACGGGCGAGCTTTTCGCAGCGGGGATAGGCCATAATTAGGATAGGACTATTAGAGGAAAGAAAGAAGGGGGAGGGCGGAAAGAAATATATAGAGAGAAGGAGAGAGAGAAAGTGCGCGCACGTGAGTACATGAAGGCATTCAAGAATTATTTCAATATTAACAGAAATATGCTACTTTCCGTTGTAGCGTTATTTTCTGTTTCTCGGACATTCTGGTACGCGATTTGAAACGCCCGCCTGAAATCCCCCTCCCCAAAAGAAAGGGCACAGATGAGCGACGGTGACTGATATTTGGCTCGCTTTTGTTGTTTACAGATCGCCCCACGGTTGTACTGTCGTGCAATTTGATTTGACTAGAAAGCTATCAAACACAATACAAAGACAACAAGATTGGATGGTGCGGATGCGAGTTGATGGATGTGCGTGAGTCCAAAGCGATGATGACGAAATGGAGTGATGAGTCTGCACTTGTCCCTATCTGGCGACGGTATTTTATCGATATAATCGGTGTTGAACGCAGCCCATATGATACGAGAAAAAGGGACTTTAGTGAGAAAGTGAGAGTGAGAATGAGAAAAAGAGAGCGAGAGAGAGAGAGAGAGAGAGAGCGCGCGAGACAAAGAGAGAACAAAAAAAAAAATAAGTACCTGTCTGCCGGATGCCGACAACGGATGATGATGAAGAATGCAAGTAAATGTTACTGAGATGAATGAATCAAGGCCAAGCGAGAAGTCTGCTGAAATAATTCTGATTGCAAGTATGCGTGGTACGAACAAACCTGCGGTTTCTATTCGCGTGATTGAGAGATAAAACCTCGAGGAGAGAGGATGACTTCGATGGACGATCACGTGAAAGAAATGAGCAGAAGAAGATGCGAGAGAATGAGATGCCAAAAGCGCGACAGGAACACCAAGAGAGATTGGAGGGAGAATATATATATATATATATATATGTATATGTATATGAATGACGGAGAGAAAATGAGAGCGAGAGACTCAGGGAGAATTTCTGAAATAAAGTGATAGCATGATAAATACGAGAAAAAGCGTATGAAAAATATAGTAAAATGTATGTATGCATGTGCGTATGTGTGATATGAGAAAGAGAGAGAGAGAGAGTGAACAAGAATGTTTTATTTACGGTAACTTTCGCCGTTGACTCATTGTAAAGCTCTTACCGAGCTTCTCAATGATGTGCATCAAATTTTGAATCGCAGTTTATAGCTATAAAGCTTAGATTTTATGTATGAAAGAATATCACTTTCCTATGCAGCGGAATGAATGGATAGCAAGGAAGAGAAAAAGAGAAAGAGAGACTGAATGCGATAGATCAGGAAAATTGTAAAACTCATAAAACTAAATGACCCCTGGTCCGATTGTGCTACGCGCGTGATTTGTTGTGTAATAGTATGAGATGATGTCGTGTATGTTACTTTTTCCCCGTAAGTGAATGTCTGTTGATGTTGGTTGGATCATTAAAGTTAATATTTTGCTGGCACAAATGATTTAGTTGTACCGAAGTCCTCGTCCGGCCTGAACGTCCATAGGAGCAAGTGATATTGAACGCTCAACAAATCCCCATTCTTATCCTGTCCGCTTTCCCTTTATTAGCCTTTATAACCGGTCGATATACGTGTCCAACCACTTTAGTGATCAATCAAGTACTTTGCGCGATCACGGTACTTAGGAGTGACGCCGCAGACGAAGAGCTTTGCACTGCCATTTGGAACAACCGCACGGCTTGTCCACATTTTTTAAACACTCGTTCCTTCCTTCCCTGTTCGCGAGACGTCTGAGTCACTCTCGAGGTCTAGGTGAGATCGTCTTCCTGACCACGCGTTGCCTGTCTTTTTTTCCCACACGATGAGAGAATCTCGCGGATCACCGGGACTTTGAGAAAATATCGTGATCGCGTTTAAAAAAGTCAAGTACTATTAAACGGATAATTGACATAGCTTAGTGTCGTAGCGTGGAGAGAAGGGTAGCTCAAAGTAGAAAATTTATTTCTCCGAACGGAATCTATTTCACTACATCTATTTTTACGGTGAAATCGTACGATTTGAAATCGCGAAAAACCTTTCCACGTTCGACCGGTACGTCTCAAGTACCATGTGGTGTATTTCTACCTCCGCTTATACCGTATCTTTAATAACGAATAGTCAATGCCGCGAATTATCACCATGAGTCGTTCTGTAGAATCACGCAGCCTCTTCGCGGATCTGTTCCGAGATACACAATCCGCAATTTTTAGCGACATAATAACGTGACACAGAATTACGTCATGTCGTCGAGAAACGTGTCTGTGGTAGTGCCATGCATTCCAAATACTTTTGCCAGCGGACATGCCGGACATTCTTTCTAATTTGACTATTTGTAGCGATTTCATTTAAATGTATATTCGTTTCTTGTTGCAAATTTTCGGAATACGTGAAGGAGAGATAGTGACGTAGTAATATAACACGTAGAAATCTTAAGCTTTTTGAATTTAATAAACGCGAGTGTATGTATTTTGACGAACGTCAGCGCGGAAACGCACAGTTCTCAGAGATATTTCATTAACACTCGCCCGATGATCAAGGCAACGAATGTAGAACGATCACGTTGATTGACTTATATCTCTGTGTCTCCGAAAACTAGAATTCGTGCCTCGCGCATCAATGACGCACGTTTACAACACACGCGTGCTTAAAGAATTTTTATATTCATGGTTTATTTCGCATATACAATACAATGACGTTTATTATTACAGTATTCCGCATAAGTATTGCCACGATATTTCATCATCCGGGATTTTACGAGAAATGAATATATATTTTTTAGATATTCCTCTTCCTCAATATACTTGTAAATCGCAGGAAAATGATATTTTTCTTCTTATTATTTGTTTAAAAAATATATACACATTAATTCGATTTTTTATTCACGTATCTGCTAGATTCAATAACAATGATAATAATAGTGATAATAATGTATTATCTCTCTTCGATAGATGTGACATACGAATATTGCCAAATTGTAGATAAGCAAGTAAGCTTTTAATCATTAATTTTAAATTTATCGAGGTAATGTCAAAGTTTCATAACGTGGAAGATATACATATATATATTAAAATCACTTTTCTCTAAGAGAATAAACTATTTTTGTAAGACGAGATTTTCATAAATTGCGGAATGAAACTTTTTGCGAAAACACAGGAAAACATTTCTGAACTTGTGGCAATATTTATTCGAGCAATTATATATTTATTTTAAGGCGATTATGTTATTTGTCAAATAGCCAATGATTTTCAAAAGTATGTTGAACATATCTCTGTGTAACAGTTTTTTGTCTGAATTAATAAACTACGCCAAATGATACCAAATTTTTACGATACATTAAATCTATTAAACGATATACACTCTCGTACACAAATTTAATCGTCCAAAATATTGTATTTCGTATATAGTTAATATTAATTATTTTTCTGTAATCTTTTTTATACTTATCAATGAGGAGAAGATTATTTCCTGTTGTGTCGAAACGTAATGCTCTTGATGCCGAAATTTCACCGATATTATCTTATGATGACTTATCGTTTTAGCATGGTTATCACCAATGACGGTTATTGATTGCGATCAGTAGCGAATTTTTTGATTACGATGGATTCGATAGGAAAGCACAAGTATCCTTTTCTTTTATACATTCCATTTAGCGAAGATTATATGAAGAGAAAGAGAGAGAGAGAAAGAAAGTGAGAGTTTATCACGACGGAGAGGACAGCGGTGCGCGTCTTTCCGCATCTTGCAAAGAATTCGATCGCTCATCTTTTTCTAATTCACGATCGAAAGTTTGCAATTTCTGTGTGTGGCGGTCGCCGGAATTCGCAGCGCGTCCCAAATTTGCTGAGATTATTTTCTTAAAATCAATCTGGTGCTAAATTTTGTGAACTCGTAATGATCTGAAAATCAATTGTGATTTTAATATTGATCGACTCTGAATCAATATATATTTATCTAGAGTTTTATTATTATTAACAAAGGAATCAAGTCTTAATAAAAGTTGCATGGTTTCAAAAAATGTAAATAATTACTTTCTGTATATATCATTATTTTTTATTTTTTTTTAGTATTGACTTATTCGCACATTTGTAATAGAAAAGTTATATAGCCTTGAATTCTAAAAATTTGGAAAACTGAAATGATGCGATTTGATTTGTCAAATAATAAGAAAAAAATTGTATAAAACAAACAAATATTTTTTACTAAACTATTTTTAGATATTTAACAATCAAATCAAGTATTTTTCTCTCCGAAATTTATTAAATGCGAAAAATATTACTATATATAATTATGGCTTTAATTGTTATTTCCAAATATATTAAATATTGTATTTATCTATATAATAATAATAATACTCTGAATCACGTTTGTTTTCAAAAAGATTGTTTTGGTGCTGACGCGAGATTGCCGCGAATTGCGTCACCGAATTTGTCGAAAAAATAGAATAGGGGGAAAAAGATAGAAAGAGAGAGAAAGTTAAATGCAAGAGTGAAGCGTGAACTCGTTGGTGAATGGATGACCTGAACATTTTTGATGCCAGAGAAAAAGAGAGAGAACGAAAGGGAAATCGCAAAAGACTAAGCGACGAGATATAAAAGTGACAAAAGATACGAAAATACAAAAAAGAAAAAATAATAGATGTATATGCGACTGTGATTTTTTGAAAGAGAGGGAGAGAGAGAGAGAGAGAGAGAGAGAGTCTCTCGTGTGCGAGGAATCGACGTTTTATCCTGAAGAGAGCACGGTCCTCGCGATCTTTCGTGATCCTTTTGTCGATCGCAGGGACAAGATTCTGACGGACGATCCTAATTTATAGCATATCCTACGATCGAAGTCCTTCCTTTTTCCCTCTATCTCGATAACCTGATCGAGCTTGAAACGCACACGTTGGGATCGTCGGTGAAGAAAAGCCCGCTCGCAAGTACCGTGCTCCATAAGGCTGGCTTTGTAACGCGTATGGAGGTCTTCGAGATCGAACGAATAATTCTTGTTCTGTAGATTAAATATTTCTCAATCGATCCTACAATCAAGGATTTTAAACTTCTTTTAACAGAGCTTCGGGAGATCTCCGATAAAAAAGATAAGTCTATATATTCCAAACAACCGCATGCCAAAGATTTTTTTCAAAGATAGAAGAATAACACGTGGAAGGGAATATTAATTAATTATAAAAAATTATAAGACTCCGACGCTCTGTCTAGATTATCACTGTAAGTTATCGGGAAATTTTCTTCGCGTAAAATCTACAACGTTCTTCGCAATATATTTTTCCGCCGTAAGAATATCCTCATAACAATCTCGAGAGAACGACGTGAAACCTTCCTTGCGGCGGAAGGTTCTCGTGGTTTACGAGGACTTCTCGCCAGCATGCGAAGCCAGCCTGAAATCCATAATAGCACGACAAAGCAACTTGACTCTTGTCGACTAATTAATTGTTTAGCCTTTTCATCGTCGAGACTCCTAGAGTGCGTGCGATGCTTACTAGAGCGAACGTACGTGATGAGCGTATTTTACGTAATATATTTAAAAAAGTCGTGTGCATTACGCTGTATCAGTGATGATGTGCGCTGTGAGTTAAGTGAGGAGCGAAATTTATCATGGATGCATCGATGATTGAAGGAGCGGATCGGGAAGAGAAGATGTTAGTGATGCTGATGATATTGGTGTTGATGTTGCTGTTGAGGATGATGGTATAATGATGAGAATGTTGATGATGATAATGTGGTTGGCTCGTGATTCGTCGTGAATCGCGGCGTCACGTTCGAGAAAAGAGAACGGATCGTCGATGTTGGAGAAACGAAGGCAAGAAGCAAACGTGTAAAAGTAAATATAAATTTTGTATCGCGGGGCGGGCCGGATCGCGCCGCTTATCGGCCTGCGGGATCAATGAAAAATTTTCTGAATGTAATTTATATATTATTAAAATTAATCTGCATACTACACATTATCGATGTAAATATATTTTTGAATCTAAAAGTTATATAATCAAATATTGAAAATAATGCAAAAAAGAGAAAGATTGATAGTACGTTTTTTGTATTCTTCTCTTTTTGTAATTGCCTTCTTGACGTAATTATTAATGCGATTATATGTCAGAGTACACTTTTTATAAAATTTTTAGTCATTAATTATTTTACTCCAATGGCCGCAAATAACTAATAGTTGCAACACATCATTGTCTTTCGAATTTTTCACGTGATCCTACGGGCTCGCAAGCGTCCTCGCGACTTGCCGCCCGCCTGCGGTGTCCTTGTATGTACGAGACAATATTTTCGATAATATTTTTTAACGATCGAGTCGCGAAACACGAGCCCAACGTAGATCTGTTGTTCGATGCGCTTGATATCGCGCGGCGGTGGCGACGAGGCAACGTATATCGCAGGAATATATAAGCGCAAAGTTATTCCTTTTTTTTTTTTTGTTCTCAATTTACGATATTATCGAAAGAGAGAATTCTACTTCGAACCGCACTGTAAGTCGCAGAAATTGCAATTGAAGCGATAGGTCTTCTCTTCGCACATCACACGCTTTCTGAAGAGAATTATCGATATTGGGATCCGTCAATTAAAAATCGCGTGTTCCATAATAATTAATTGTTACATATTGTACCGAACAAAAATTCCAATAGCACGATTGCTCCAAAGAAAACATTTGTTCTATAGATGAAATTCGGTGTAGATCTCTCTCGTTTTCGCGAAATTGCCACGATTCGAAAATCCTCATGTTAAAATGTTCACGTCAAAATACCTTGCGATCTACGATGCTTTTTTGAAGCGGGATGCCGAGAGGGAGCGACGCCACCGTCGTGACGAAGTGGGCGAAATAATTAAAATAAAAAAAGAAAAAAGAAAAGCACAAAAAAAACAGCTGCGTGCGTGGATGACGTCTGGTGCGCTGCGCATGAGAGGATACCGAGTGCTGCTGCCGATCGAGAGGCGATCGGACCAAAATAATTATAATTGACGCATGGTGAAAAGAAAAAATGTGTCTCTAGGCGACCTATATATGCGTGGGTGAAGCGAAAAAAAATTAAGAGGACGATGCTGAATGTGGACGTCCGTCTGTCGTCGTTGCTCCACCCTCTCCTTTAAGTAATTTCCTGGCACTCGATCCGCCGATTTCTGTAGGATAAGGCCCTTTTATGGCGTGATAAGATCATTGATAAATCTTTATTGGTGCTTCGCGACGAGCAGAAATCACGGCCTACTCTCGCGACGCGAGAGATAATCGAATTGCCGATTTTCGAGCGGCGTAACCCTCGCAGATCGGATGTAATCATCAATATTTGCTCAACTCAATGTCCTTTTTGCGTCTACGATCGGTATCGAGCTAAAGGAAAAGCGCTAAATTTATCCGCGTTTTGCGGATATCTATCATTTTTGATGTATGATCAAATTAAAAAACAAATTACACTATTTCGAGAAATGTGATGTCACAGAAGAGATTTTATTTTATATATTTAAGGGAATTTACAAGGGGAACATAAAGGTATCGGATTTAATGTAACATGCGTTTTTTACGATCGAGAGAAAAAGAGATCGGCAGCGATATTATTATTTGTTAAGAATCCCAAAACATTTATTGTGATAGCACAGTGTGTGCGTGGCAATCAAGATGTAAAAGATTTTAATACAACTAGATATTTAAATTTCGCGATTTAAATTTGGATAAAATGAATACGAAATCAAAATTCTAAGGAAGATTCATCAAGAATCTCAAACTGTACGGAACATTTACTCGATTATTTTATTTAATGCCGGTTATTTAGAGGTCTCGAACTTTTAAAGAATCAAGTGAATGAAGGCAATACGTAAAATTTATTTCAAAAGTTTCGGGTTTTAAGAATAAATATATATTTGAAAATTTATATATATGTCTATAATTTCGAAATTGACGATGTATCAGAATTATTGCCTACTTTATCTAACATTTGAATTTGTGCAAATAATTGTTTTCTGTTTGTTTAAAAAATGTCAAAATCTTACATGTGTGCGGATGTATGTGATTATCGACTTTTTAGCATTTAATTGTATATACTCAAAAATTAGGAAAATTATAAACCGATTTTTTTTAAAATATAATATTTCTTCTTCTTTCACTTGCTTCTTTAATTGTAAGTTCCATTTTCAAAACGATCGCAAGGAACTGATCAGACTTCAACAGGAGAGGGTGCGGCATATTCACGCGATGCGTGTATCGCATTGCGTTATCATTTTATTCCTATTCGGTTTGAATCAGTCATGTGGTGCTTGCGAAGACTGTGTTTCCTGTGGAGATTTATAATTGACAACGATAATGTGACTTCGGCTACATCGCTTACGTGAATGCCAGAGCGATCGTGGAATGACTGAAGGACGAGTCTTCGGGAAGTGTGTCTAGCGTATAATCGGTCACATTAATGATCGCTCGATAGACCCCTCAAGGTCCCTATGACACGCACGGAGAAAAAACGCGGCGCAATCGGTCGAAAGTTTCCGGAAAATCGCGGAGACGTTTTCTTCGGCGCTCGCTCGACCTCGATACACGATGCGTTGAGCACGTTACATTATACAGAATCAATTCGATTGCATATCACTTAAGACATTAATGTGGCTGACTGTACCGATGAATGCGAGAAACAAGATTATACGAATCGCCAAGCGACAGTGCCATATAATATCGAGTCATTTCGACTGCTATTTCTTCATTGTTTGATTTGTCTTTTTTCGGAGACGCGAGTTTTGAAGTGCGACAAAAATTCTCGCTGTCTCGTACAGGAATGCGTATGATACGAGAATGTGAAACGAGATCTAATCGGCGGAAAATGCGAATTGCTTCCTGTTTTTATTTCATGATTTCCTTTTTTCTCACAGAGAACACGATGGCTCGAAAATAAATTCCATGAAATCTGTATACACGCGGTGATGCCATTATTACCAGTCGTCGCTCAAATATATCATAACCGTTACACCACCCTTTCTCGAATATCTGTTTTATATTTATCGCATTCTGTTTAAGAACATTTTTGAAACACTAAAATTTGGAGCATTCAAATTTTTTTTCTTAATTTTATTTTTTAGAATATATCCTGTGCATAATATTATTTACATAAATTTTTATACTATATATATATAATCTAAAAATTCCTTATTTTCTAATGGGATTAAAAATTTGTATCGTGATGAAAAGAAAATCGCATTTATCCGGAGGGAATGGGAATGAAGAGGGTATTGGATTGTCGTATCGTGTGTCCGTATATAACGTGTTTCAGCATTATTCTTAATCTCTCTTAAGCACCCTTAACCCAATTGAATTAGAAGGACACACTCCGCGATACCCCGCGACACACGCGCGACTCGTGATTAACTATCCGTCTATTGCATTTCCAATACGTTCTTTCATCCAGTGCAAGAGTGCGCGTGAAGTTGATCGTAATTTCGAATCATCCAAAAGTGTCATTATTTACAGTTATAAATATATTTTACGGATATATTTATTTAAATTAAAGAAATGACACATGGCTTAATTTAATTATTTTATATATTATATTTTTTACAGTGATTGACATTTGCAAGTGTGTTTGTGTTGGTTTTTGCAAATTATTGATCTTTCATGACTATTGAAAATTTTAACCGTGTAAAATTAATCTCTTATATATTGTTTTTTATCGTAAATTCTGAAAAAAAAAACTTAATTTACGTTCTTTATATAAATATACGTTAATTTATATAAATAGATTATAAATCTATATTCTTGATATTTTAAGATAATCTCGATACTGCAAAAATACGCAAACATCAGAGTCGGCAATTGGAAGAATATTCGAACTTATTAACGTATTTTGGACCCGTGTCCTGTTAATAGAAGACGCAGCGCGGCGAATCGCCGTCAGCGCCGAAATCGTTGAGGGTGCATGGTGCATTTTTTACAAATCTACGAGAGACATCACTCTCTTGCACTTTGATTACGGAGGAAGACGGACAAGACGATGCAACGCGCGTCACATCAGTCGTATCCATCCACGGATGGAGGCTAATACACGTCACGTGACGCCTTTATAAGGTATCATCGAGGCTTTCGATAACGTGGGACTAAATCAAAGTTCACCGAAATGGAGAGACAAAATGATAACAACTCGATACGGGTCGATAATACCAGAGTCGCGGAAGATAACGTAAGTATTAATTTATTGTTATTTCTACAAAGGCTTTCTTGTCGTTTTTTTTATTTCGATTTTCAATTATTTTAAATTATTATGCATAATATTCTGCATCCAATGCATGGAAGCGAAGTTTGATGTTAAAGATGGCATTAATTCTTCGCATACTTTCGTAATTTCTCTTAATTGAATAATATTTGTACCATTTCGCGAAAATAGTCAACGGAAATTTTACAATTTTAGGTTGAATCCAGATAAAAAGAAAATTTTTAATAGCACAGCTATGTTTTGCTTATTATCCTGTATCCCTATCCCTTTGTTTGATTTCAAGTCATAGATTCTCGAAGAAAAACAGTATTGATTGTTCTCCAATGAAAATACTAGATAATAATTTTTATAAGCAATTTAAAATAAGGATTTTCGAAAATTAAGTACTTTATATAAAATTGAAATATATTATAAATATTCTTCAATTAATTTTCTTTTGTTAAACTTAACGTTTTAATCTAAATTTTAATAATTTTCAATACACATAATACTTTTAAAATTAATGTTGAAAATTAAAAAGTTCTTAAATCGTTCAGAGAATTCATAAATCATTCGCAAATACAGACGCGACATAGCAATAGAATGCTCTCTTTAGCCATTTAATAATCGCGAATCGCGCGAAATGCCTCTTAGGATAGCTTCGATCTCGATGATCTTTTGCCGATCGTCGGCGAATTTGGTCGTTATCAAAAGCAGTTGTTGTGGTTGGTCTGTCTGCCGGCATGTTTGCCCTGCGGTTTTTGTGCTTTCAATCAGTTATTCATGGCGAATACACCGCCGCATTGGTGCAAGATACCGGATCTGGAGCATATGGATGCTGCATCCAGAAGGCATCTCGCTATTCCTGTGAGTCAGATGCAATGCAAGTGCGAGAGAGCTCCTCGATGCTTTGTAAATGCAACACTGTTCCAATTATCAATATGTAGAAATTGACAAGTTGATTATATCCCCATGTATCATACATCTACTTTTTCAGCTGCGATCGATCAGAGATCATATCTTCTGCGTATATTTAATGCTATGTGTGGTAGTCGTTGTCTTGTTGATGTATCCCTCTTTTGTTTAATATTTAATATTGCATTTTCTTTGCAATTTGTTTCCTCCTCTATATAAATTTGATAAATTCAAGTAAAACTTAATTAATCATACCATATTTAATTAAAATTCGAGTTGTGTCTAGTTAGCGCTTGGGAAAGTGCTAACTTTCACGCTTTGCGAAAGGTTGCTTGGAGAAAATTTTTCGAATTTTTTTTTTTTTTTTTTTTGTAGTTCGCCATTTCTTCAGCAAGAAATAGAAGCAATTGAAAAATTATTCCCAATAAACGCAATATTGTACATGTGCAATCTCCTACTAGTCTAATAGAATTGAACGTTAAATTGGAACAAGTAAAACATGCCATTTGCTTCACGTGTGATCGCCCATATCGGTAGGATTTTTTTAATGGCTCGAGCATACTGAATGTATTGTTCATACGATGTTGCGTGACGTGATGCTGTAGAAAGTAATATTGTAAAGATATAATATGAATGCAGGACGACAATGGGACCTATAGCCAGTGCACACGGTATGACGTCGATTGGACGACGACGACGGAGAACAACTCCGTTGTTTGGACGTACTCGTCCAATACGTCGTGGTCCATCGTGCCCTGCGACCATGGCTGGGAATACGACACCTCGGAGGTGACGTCATCCATCGTTACCGATGTACGTCGTGCGTGCAATTGTACAGGAGAAGCTTTACAACTTTTCTCTAGACTTTATAAATTGGCAATTAAATCTTTTCGCGAATAATATATTTAATCGATCTTTTTTCTCATCAAAGCGCATCGTATTTTACAATTTCTTGAGATAGTCTTGCTCGTTTTTAATGTAAGATATAATTACAAATAATGTACAGTTTTTTTTTACGGGAATAGGAAATTAGAATTATCTTATCTGGAAAAAATCTAAATGTAAGAGTAAATTTTACGGAGAAAGCAAAAGATCAATGAGGCAATAACCGTACGCTTACATTAGAAATTCGGCTGTGTTACAGTTTGACCTCGTCTGCGATCGCGCAATCTATCCAACGATTGGCTTGGTGGCTCTTAATTTAGGAGGCCCTATAGGAGTATATCTATTCGGCACATTAAATGACAGGTAAACTAAAGCTCAGTTGACAGAATTCAATTTTCATTAAAATTTAGTTTTTTAAATCAAAATCTCATCTTATTTTGCTTATATTTTTCTATATTAATTAGAACATAATTTTCCTATTTTAGAGATTTAAAAATCTATAGATGAATAGAGTTATTAATAAAAAAAATATCTCTTTTATTTGTGTTTTAGTTATATATATTCGCTGCAGATTATTTATCCTGTTTAATTTTAATGCCGTATTTAAATGTTATTATTTTATTGAATAGAATCGGTCGAAAATTATCTTTCTTCGCGTGTCTGGCAACGTTAATAACTGGTGGCTTTCTGACAGCAATAACAAACGATTTTTGGACTTGGGCTTCTACGCGTTTCGTCGTCGGTTTGACGATACCAGCCATTTATCAAATACCTTTTATTATCTGTAAGCAATTAACTTTTACAATAAATTAAAATTTTACCATTGGCAAATATTGCTACACTAATCGTAATCGACGTAATAAAAATATTTGATGGAATCTAAATTCTATCGATACAGGTTGATCTAGGTAGCTGTATTTATTACTATATTTATTTCCGTAGCCTTAGAACTGGTCGGCCCAAATTATCGCTCATTTGTGACAGTTATGACTTGCACTTTTTATACGATGGGCCTCTGTATGCTAGCAGGCGTCACTTATTTTATACGCGATTGGCGAATGCTTGCCATAACCACGAGTGCACCATTCTTGATCTATTTCTCTTATTGGTGGTGAGTGAACAATTGATATTGTCATTAAAATTTCTAATGGCAGATTATATATAAATTACATAAATTACATAATGGTAATTATAATGTGGATATGTAATATTTGCGATTTATAAGAATTATATTTGAAATAAGAATGAGACATTTCTCTCTGCTTTTTAAATATTATCAAATTAGTATGAAATATTAATTCCTAAAAATTATTGTAAAACTATTATATTTATTACCTTGTATCTATACATATTTGTACATTCGATTTAGCTTTACGATTTTTACTTGAGTCATCGTCAAAATTCTTAATTCTTAATTTCGAAATAATTTTGAATGGTATAACTTGAAAAAGTTTTTATGTAAGCACACGCATGAAAGTATTAGAGATTATTATAGGTTTTTACCGGAATCACCGAGGTGGCTATTAGCGAAAGGTCGCCTCAGCGAAGCTAATGATATTCTTGAAACACTGGCCCGAGTGAATGGCAAAGAGCTCCCGGCATCATTCACTCAGAAACTTCGTCAACGCATGACAATGTCGAGATCGAAAAGCGAAGAGGAAAGATTGCGAACCGGTCCTGGTGTCCTCTCGCTCTTTAAAACGCCGAATATGCGTCTCAAGACATGTCTTATTACTTTAAACTGGTAATTTGTACAGAAACGCGCTTATCAATTTTAGAAATAGCAAAAAATCTGTGATAAATCCGTATCTCGATGATCCTCATTTTTTTCTCTTCTTACTTCCATTTATTATTTTGGCCTCATAATTTTTTATAATGTGTTTATTAAAGGAAAGTTTCGAATAATTATTCGTAGTTTTCTAACATACGGTTCTTCATTACGAACATTGATTTCTTTTATAATCAATTTTTAAAAATCAGTAGATTATTCAAAATCTATTAATTTTATATATTATATGATCATTTATTTGTAATTAGGTTGATTTCTAGAATTGTAGATATTGGTATCTATATTGGAGATAATATAATGTTAACGATAAAATTGATAATAGTACGTTATTTCCTGGCGATCATATTTGACGTGAGAATAAATGGATCTTTATCTTACTATGATTAGGTTTGCTAACAATATGGTGTACGTCGGTCTTTCTTATTATGGGCCGGCATTAGGAAATGAGGAACACCTGAGTTTTCTCTTTTCGTCTCTCGCCGAGATTCCCAGTTATATCGCTTGTTGGATTGTAATGGATCGATGGGGCCGCCGATGGCCGCTTTGCCTGTGCATGGCCGTGGCTGGAGTATCGTGTATTGCCACGGTGCTGTTGTCGCCCGGTACGCACCGCTGGCCAATCAGTTAATGACTTGATTAATTAACGATAATAGCAACATAATTAGGTGGTTGATGCAACGTAGCAATATTGCTGAAAGCACCAAGTTATAATAGTTAATTAATTTCGTAAAGTATTATGTTAGAAGAGAGAACTTTGACATCTCAGTTTTAATTTACTATTTTTAATTTATTTAAGATGCTGTCATAGAGACCTTGATATTGTTTCTCATATCGAAGTCTGCAATATCGGCCTCTTTTCTAATTATTTATCCCTTCGCCGGAGAACTCTATCCTACGCAATTACGTGGAGTTGCTATTGGTTTCTCCGCATATATCAGCGGTCTCGGACTCATCATTATACCCTTCGTAACATATCTCGTGAGTCTGTCATTGTTGCTTAAATTCTATTTCAGTAATAAATACAAAAAGTATTTCTTTAAAATTTATTAAATTATTAAGTAATTAATTATTTGTTGATTTATTAATGTAAGTCATCTTATTGATTTTATTAGAAACAATATATA